GACCTCTAAGGGTCCCTTCCAACTGTGCGAATCCCTAATTCTGTAAGGGTCTCCTGCCTGGGCAGGGGGTTGGACTAGCAGACCTCTAAGGGTCCCTTCCAAGTGTGCGAATCCCTAATTCTGTAAGGGTCTCCTGCTTGGGCAGGGGGCTGGACTAGCAGACCTCTAAGGGTCCCTTCCAACTCTTTTATCCCGAGGGAGTTGAAGTCCACAAGTTATCAAGCTGGGATACCCATGATTTAATTGGATTCAAGAGGATTTCTCCCCACCTCACCCCTAATGTTCACCCTTAAAAACTTAATATCTCCTTTTGAATCAAATGTTGAATGTTTTGCTTGACGTGAAGCCATTTCTAACGTCCCCCCCGTTTTGTTTCGTTTTTTCTTCCTCTCCTCGCAGGATTCATGAATAAAATTTTTCATCCCAACATTGACGAAGCGTAAGTGACTCTCGTTTGCCTCGCAACGGCCTTTTTTGTAGGAGGTGGGACTGAGGGGAGGTTTGGTTCCCACCCTTTTCTCCAGGCCTACAAATGAGCGTTTTTTTCTTCTCAGCGTATTTTTTGACCTCGGGGACTTTTTTTTTAAAGATAGCTGGACCTCAACTCCCAGAATTCCCCCCCCACCCTTGGCTGGGGGGATTCTGGGAGTTTTGAAGTCCACCCCTCTTAAACTCCTCCCCATGGTTTGAGAAACACTGACTTCAAAAAAGAGGTTTTAAGCGCCAGAATTCTCAACTCTTTTTTTTTTCTTGAAGGAAAAACAAAGGCGCTAAATTGGTCTCCCAGTGCTCGAGCCGGGGTTGGATTGGAAGATCTCTAAGGCCCCTTCCAACTCTGTTATTCTGTTATAACTTCCACTCTCCTGAAATACGGGGCCCGGCGATCATCCTGGCTTCAGATAAACTTTGCTAGCCTTAAGACCGATACCAGAAATGACTTGGCTTAGGGGTTTATTTTTAAAATGCCAGCTGTCGCCACGGATTAACTCACCTTGAGTGGATTTAAAGGCCGTAAAGTCTCCAGGGCCCGCGGCTTCCCTTTGCTTTCTCGGACACGAAGGGGAATTTGGCATCGAGCGGAGCTGTAACAACTTCCCTTCCTCTTGATGATCTTTATTTCCAGATACTTTATTTAAAACAAAACAAAAAATTGTTATTTTTTTTTAACAAATTAAAATTGCAGCTTAGCTGTGATGGGAGACAGTTTTTGGAGGACTCGGAAAGGAAACAGGTTCCTTTCTGATCGGCTGGGCCTACAACGAGCCATTTTGATACAGTGGCTGGTTAGGCTGGGGCATTCTGGGAGTTGAAGTCCAACCCATCTTAAGCTCCCCACGGTTGAGAAGCACTGACTTAAAAAAAAGAGGTTTTAAGCACCAGAATTCTCAACTTTTTATCTTTTAAGGAGAAGCAAAGGAGCTAAGCTGGTCTTCCAACTTCCAGTCTCGTGTAATATGGGGCCCGGCATGGCCTCATCCTGCCGGGGAATTCTGGGAGTTGAAGTCCACCCATCTTCACCTCGCCAAGGTTGAGAGATGTTGACTTTGAGCCTCTTGCTCAACAGTCCCACCAAGGGCCTTTCGGCTTCAAAATAGAAGAAATACTTCTGTACAATCGGCATTGCGGTCCACATTCATACCCGAGTCCAGGGCTCTTCAAACTTGACAGCTTTAAGACTTGTGGACTTCAACTCCCAGAATTCCTCCTCCAGTCATGTTAGCTCAGGAATTCTGGGAGTTAAAGTCTACAAGTCTTAAACTGGCCAAGTTTGAAGACCCAGGATCTATTCTATCTGTCTGTCTATATATTCTCTCTCTATTCCACCTCTATGTATCTATTCTATCTATCTCTCTCTTCCTCTATCTATCTATTCTATCTTATCTCTTTTTCCCTCTATTCTACCTCTCTTTATCTATTCCAAGGCTCTTCAGACTTGACAGCTTTTAAGACTTGTGGACTTCAACTCCCAGAATTCCTCCTCCAGTCAGGTTAGCTCAGGAATTCTGGGAGTTGAAGTCCACAAGTCTTAAACTTGCCAAGTTTGAAGACTTCTTGATCTATCTATCTATCTATCTATTCTCTCTATTCTCTCTATTTCACCTCTATCTATTCTATCTATATCTATTCTATCTTTCTCTCCCTCTATCTATTCTATCTCTCTATCTATCCTATCTCTCTTTATCTATTCCCGGGCTCTTCAAACTTCACAGCTTTAAGACTTGTGGACTTCAATTCCCAGCATTCCTCCCCCAGTCATGTTAGCTCAGGAATTCTGGGAGTTGGAAGCCCACAAAGTCTTAAACTTACCAACTTTGAAGACCCTTGATCTGTCTATTCTGTCTCTTTCTCTCTATCTATTCTACCTCTCTTTCTCTATTCTATCTATTTATTTTCTCTCTCCCCCCCCCCCATCTATCATTCTATCTTTCTCTCTATCCTACCTCTCTTTATCTATTCCAGGGCTCTTCAAACTTGGCAGGTTTAAGACTTGTGGACTTAAACTCCTAGAATTCCTCCTCCAGTCAGGTTAGCTCAGGAATTCTGGGAGTTGGAAGTCCACAAGTCTTAAGCTTTCCCCGTTTAAAGACCGTTGCCGTAGTCTGTGCCATTACTGAGGCAGGATTTAAACTTAAGATCAGGTCAGCTGCTGCTCTTAACTGCCGTTGGGCATGGGGCAGGGTTGAACTGTCACTCAACTATCCTTGTTTGTTTATTCCAGGTCAGGAACCGTATGTCTAGATGTAATTAATCAGACTTGGACAGCTCTCTACGGTGAGATTTTTAAAACGAGAAAATGGTGGCTGATTTGTAAGACGTGGCAGGGAAGCGAGGGAGGTCAAAAAAAGTTAAGATGGCAACCACAACAATGGGATAAAAAAAAAATGACCTTTTTTTTTCATGTGGCACGCAAGGTGCAGTACCCCGTTTTCCCCAAAATACAACCTACCCTGAAAGTAAGCCCTAGCTTGAGTTTTTACAGGTGTGTCCGATATAAGCCCTACCCTACAAAATAAGCCCTAATTAAGATCCCACCCACTCCAGAGTGGACAGGTAAATATTAAGCTAAGGTGGGGGGATTGGGGGGGTGGAGCTGCCCTACTACTTACCTTTGGACAGGTATAGCCAGACCTCGCACACCCCGACGCCTGCTTTGCCGGCCCATTTCTTCTGCAGCCGGCAAGGCTGGCCAGGGTCCCCTGAAGGCCTCTGTAGTTGATAACCAAGCTCTGGATCGATCCTGAAAGCTGCAGAGGCCTTCAGGAAAGCCTTGCCAGCCACAGAAGAAGAAATTCCTGACAGCGAAAAGAAGGCCGGGGTCGATGCGCGCAAGTGAGGTTAGTCAGTGGAAGACATCCCCCGAAAATAAGACCTGGTGGCTTTTTTGATGGCCAAAAAAATAAATAAAAATAAAGACTGGGTCTTATTTTGGGGGAAACCTAGTCAAGAGCTGAGTTTGCATCGTTGTGGCTACTCCCCTCACAATAATCAAGGGAAACAACCTCCCACCTTCCCTCTCCTGGAAATTCAAGATGGGAAAGGGACACTGGAAGCCATTTTGTTTTCCAGATCCTTTTTGTGAGTTTCTTCCCCCACCCTTTTTTTTTTAAAGTTGATCGTAGATGTTAGGGATCCACCCTAGCAGAATCTGCACGGCAGTCAGGCAGGCAGGCAAAAATATGTGAGATAAACCTTTTTGTAGCTTACACTCAGTAAAACAGATACACCGTGCTAGTTAAATAGTTTATTCCAGGTAAGAGTTTTAGCATAGTCAAACCGTCCATATATTATTCACTAGTTCAGTCCGTCCAGGGATTATTCAGTTGCAAAGTCCAGTGTTGAAAAAGAGGTCAGTAAACTTACAAATATCAGTCCAGTAATATATCTCCTCGCAGTAGAGATATGAAGAAGTCAAACCTCCTTTCTTCCTTCAGCAGCAGGGAACACGCAGTTAGCAAACCATCAATCCAGCAAACCAGCAAGTGTCAGCAATCCAGCAGGTTCTCTTGCTCCCTCTTATGGCGGTTTCACAACCGCACCCAAAATTAACATGCTTTGCAGTTTAAAGCGACACACACTTAAACTTACTATCATAGTTTATATATATTACTTTACCCAAACTACGTTAGGTAACCTTGTTATTCCTAACACTAGAATGAAATACAAGCACCAACAAAGAGGGAGAAAGTTAGAGAAAGAGAAGGGGAAAAAAAACGCCAAAAGAGGTTCAAAAAAGCAAAAGGGGGTAGAAGAAGAAGAAAAAAGATACATGAAGTCAAATATTTGAAGGGAGTTCCCGTCCCCGCTGTGCGTTTCTGAATGTTTCGAGCCCTTTCTGGGCCCTCAGAACCAAATTGCCAAACCGTCAAGAGCCTAAAGCTTCGTTTTTGTGTCGGCCTTTCCAGATCTCACCAATATATTTGAGTCGTTCCTGCCTCAGTTGTTGGCCTATCCCAACCCCATAGACCCGCTTAATGGCGACGCCGCAGCCATGTACCTTCACCGACCAGAAGAATACAAGCAGAAAATTAAAGGTAAGGACCCCTTTGGGGGGGGGGAAACACTGGCAGGTGGTCCTCGGTTTATGACCGAATGGCGGGTAGTCCTCGACTTACGACCTCAGCCCGAGGCCCAGACCTCCGTCACGATGCAAGGCAACAGGGGTGAGCTCGCCCCCATTTTTTTAACGACTTAACGTTCTTGCCACGACCATTGAAGCGAATCGCTGCCAGTCGTTAAGCAAATTGCAGGGTCGTTAGACGAATCCAGCTCTCCTCTCCCTCCGCCCCCCCGTTGACTGTCGGTCAGAAAGTGCATTTCAGCTTATTGTGTTTGGCATTTTTATGTTTTTGTCATATTCTGTGTATATAGTTTTATCTTTTGATATTGTAAACCCGCCCAGATGGGCAGCCCATAAATTTGAGAGAGAGAGAGAGAGAGAGAGAGAGATCATAGATGGAAGAGGGAGAAAGGGAGGTAGAGAGATGACAAATGGATGGATAGGTAAGTAGAAAGATAGATAGATAGATAGATAGATAGATAGATAGATAGATAGATAGATAGATAGATAGATAGATAGA